CTCTCTCTCTCTCTCTCTCTCTCTCTCTCTCTCTCTCTCTCTCTCTCTCTCTCAAACACACACACAAAATTATTCTTTGTTTATTTTTTGGGTTTTTTTTTTTGGGGGGGGGGGACTGGGTTTATCTGTAGCATTGGAGCCTGTCCTGGAACTAGCTCTTGTAGACCAGGTTGACCTCGAACTCACAAAGATCTGCTTGCCTCTGCCTCCTGAGTGCTGGGATTAAAGGCATGCGCCACCACCACCCGGCTACAAAATAATTCTTTTATATGAAATGTTCAGAACAGAAAAATCTGAGAGAAATAGAGAGTGGCTGCCCTGGGCTGGTCCTGACGTCCTAATCCTACCTGGGCCCCTCCCTCGCAGCACCTGGGGGTAGAGCAGCAGGGTTCAGTGCTTATCAGGCTCATTCCTTCTGATACCTCAGCAAGGGAAGGGCATTCCAAACTTCCTCTGACTCCTCTGGCCTCACCTGTCCAAGGGCGCAAGCCAAACACCTCACTGGTAACCATGAATGGTCCCGGCTAAACAATGTTGATCAGGACAACGCAACTGTGATCCTTAGAACTCAACCTAAGAAAACACACAACATCAGAATGGGCTATAAGGTCCTTCAGGTCTCAGTAACGTCCCTGCCCAGTCCGGAAAGCTAACTGTGGGCCTCTCTTCTCAGTGCCATCTATCTTGAGTGACATCGTGTAGGTAGCTGGCAAACTGGCTGGTTGGTATAGTCACACCACAGAAATCAGCACATGTTCCTTGGCAAGGTTGTCCCCTGCCTCCTAGCAACCTGGTTGGCAGCCGTTTACCAGCACAAAGTTGTGTTAACTCACATCTCCTTACACAACACAGAAATCACGTGCCCACAGCCCATACACTGGCTGAGTCTTTTTGGTTTTGTTTGTTTGTTTTTTCTGTTTTTCAAGACAGGGTTTCTTGAAACCTGTGTAACAGCTCTGGCTGTCCTGGAACTCCCTTTGTAGACCAGGCTAGCTTCGAACTCAAAAAAATCTGCCTGCCTCTACCTCCTGCCATGTCTCCAGCCCCATTTCCTTTTGTTTTGCTGAGATCAAAGGAATGAGCCATCACGCCCAGCTACATGGGTGGAGTTTTTTTGTTTTCACAACTAACCCATTTCACAGATGTGAACCATGGGCTTGAAGAGGCCAAAGGAACTTGCCAAAAACCTATGAGGGATAAGCACATAATTACACATTCCTACGGGACCACTTATTTTTGGACCCAGAGTCCAAGACAGATAAAACCGCATGTCACCCACGGTCACTGAGGGTCACACTGATTTCTGGTCTATTCTTTTGAGTAAACAGAACAATGAGCATCGAGCTCCATACCCCAGCCTCTCCTAAACTGTGACTATGCCACTATGGTCAGCTCTTTGTTTTGCCCATTGTGCCATGACCCGGGCGGTGAAGGCATTCGCGGGACAGGCGCCGCCATTTAAAGATGTTTGAGCTGCAAGATGGCTCTGTCTCCCATGTGCTGGGGCTGTCCAGGAAACCACAAGCTCAACAATTAGCAAATGCAGAATCCTGCCTGGCAGCATCGTGGTGGCACAAGGCGGCGCTTGCCCAGCAGTGCAAGGGGCAACTGCTCCAAACAGCTGCACAGGGCAGCTAAAGAAAACCTTCAGGAATCTGACCTTCACAAACATGGCCCTGCCTCACGCATCACGGGACGAGCTGAGGCTCCTTAGATCACTCATCCAGAAAGTTGGTTCGGAAGACCATTATTACTGTTATTATTTTCGAGACAAGGTTTCTCTGTGTAACAGTCGTAGCTGTCCTGGAACTAGCTCTTGTAGATGAGATTGGCCCCAAACACACAGAGCTCCACCTGCTTCTGCCTCCCTAGTGCTGGGATTAAAGGCGTGAGCCACTGCCAAGGGGCCAGAAGACCATTTTTAATAGAGTCATACTCAAGCTCCAGAAGAGAATGGCACCCTGAGGCTGGAAGAAGCTGCCAACGATTTTCAACTTGTTTCTCTCACCAGCAGCCCCAAGTTTGGCCACTGGATGACAGGAAGCATCACCCCAGCCTCTGGCATTTATCCTTGGGGCGCCAAGGGAGCCAGAAAGCTTCATCTCAAGCCTCCTCCCCCTGGGAGTCGCCTTGGTCCTGACTCCACCTCTGGGAAAGCCCGACCCCTCCCCAGGGAGGGTCAGGACCACTCCCACAGGCTATTTAGGCTTTTGCACGGTACCCCCCCCCATGCTCCCCACCACCCGGGATCATTGCATTCATTAAATGTGGGCTTGATTAGGTCTAATCTGGTTTAATTGGAGTTATTTGGCATGGATGGAGAGGCTTCTCTTAAGATTATACCTAATGGCCATATCTACATAAAAACTGTTCTTTGATTTGCTCATGAGTTTTCTTAAATCCACTCAGTTTCTTCTGAGTTTTCAGACAGGGTTTTATATAGCTCAGACTGGTCTCAAACTCACTATATAGTCTTAAACTCACAACCTCCTGCCTCTACCTCCCACGTGCTGAGATTACAGGCATGAGCTGTCTTGCCCTCTTCAGTATCTCCTACTTAAATGCCTAACTGCCCTGAGCAACAGATCAGTCCAGGCCAGGGTTTAGTAAATTCATCTTGTTGTTTCTCTAGTTTGCACTAGAATCTTACATAGTGTCAAGACTACACAAGGGGCGGGGCAGAAGGGGACAAGGGTGAGACAGAGGGATGGGGAGAAAATCAAGAGAAATAACAAAACAAATTTTGTTTGAAAATGCTACAATGAAACCTAATGCATGTGCACTGATTTAGAAAGTAAATGGCTAAAATTTTCACATACACACAAAACCTGTATATACCCGGAAACACCCTGCCCTCAGTCTGAGTGAAAAGGACAAGACATGATTGCTCCTAGGTATGACTGAAGACTTATGGATATGAGGGAAAGAACAGCCAAAGGCATCTGGAAGGGTCCAGACTGAACATGGCCAGCAGAATAAACCAGACCATGGTCAGGAACAAGAGAGGAAGAGAAGCAGGGAGCTAAGAGGGAAACCTGTGGACCAAGAGGCTCAGAGACCGCAGAAGTCCCTGGGAGAGGTTTAGGGTAGGGGGCAGGGTGAGAAACGCTGGGAGGAACTACAGGTACTGAGCATGCAGGGAGAGCTAGCCAGTGTCCCCTTTGATATGCTAAAAGACACCTCAAATAGCTGTTTGTCCTGGGTTTCTTTGAGACCTAACTATGCCTGTATCCTGAATTTTTTAATGTAATTTAGGCCCTGGCAATGCTGAAGCATGCATGGGTAGCCTGTATGGTATGTGGCGGTTCTGTTGAACTTGTCCATATTGGGTTTCATGGTCTAAGTTTATAAGGACGACTGACCTACAATAGGAGAAATACCTATTGTAACCCCAGCCTCCAGCCTCCATCTTTGGAGGACCCTCCCCTGTGCCCCTCGGACCTTGACCCCTCCTCAGGAAAGGTCAAGACCACTCCCACAGGCTATTCAAACTGCTCCCCAGAAAACAAACAGGTGGTTTTCCCTTTTCCTCTCTGGTGGTTCCTGCTCCCCTGGGGCCACCAAGGAGCCCAGGTGTCTAATTAAACCTGGATATCTTTTAATCTAGACTGATTTGGCTTAATTGGGATTATTTTGCATCAGCTCGGTTAGGAAATATTCCTAACACCTATCTAGTCAATTTTTCTTTTAAAAAATTTTTAAAAAGATTTATTTATTTATGTGAATGTCTGTGCACCATGTGCATGCCTTCTGAGGTCAGAAGAAGGCATCGATCAGATCCCTTGGAACCGGAGTTACAGAAGGTTATGAGAAACAAATCTGGGTCCTCTGCAAGAACAGCAAGCGCTCTTAACTGCTGAGCCATCTCTCCAGTCCCAAATTCTTTTGTTTTGTTATTGGACTCTACCTTGAGGGCCGGACCATCTCTCTAGCTCCAAAGTAACCTTTTATTCAAGCAGCACCATTTGCTAAGCTGTCTCCTCAGGGTGACACATGTGGGTGTCTGTCGCTGTTTATTGTGCGTGGGAGGGTTGTGCAAGTCCTAATGTATGTAGCTTCCCCCATATTCTGGCTTTATTAAAGACAAATTCGCAAGTGGATGACTCAGAGGGGAGAGAAGGTTTTCGAGCTAGCTCTCTGAAATACAATGCTGAAAGTAGCATCAGAAACTGCAACTGTTCTGAGTAGAATAACAACCCAGTTTGCTGTGGGACAATGGTCTTTTATCCCGTCACGTGTATTATTTTTAATAAACCGCTGATTGGCCAGTAGCCAGGCAGGAAGTAGAGGCATGGCAACGAGAATTAAGGGAAGAGTAAAGTTCAGTCTGCAGTCCTCACCCAGACACAGAGGAAGCCAGACACAGAGGAAGCAAGATGTGACTGCCTTGCTGAAAAAGGTACCAAGCCACATGGCTAAAAGAGACAAAAATTATGGGCTAATGTAAGTTATAAGAGTTAATAAGAAGCCTGAGCTACTAGGCCAATCAGTTTATAATTAATGCAGGCCTCTGTGTATTTCTTTGGGACTGAACAACTGTGGGATCAGGTGGAACAGAAACCTCCATCAACACCAGTTCACCCTCATCCTTACCAGTTCTACACACGCGCGCACGCCCATACACACACTTTCTTTCGCTAACGGAAAACCTCGTTCAGTGGCTCCAAAGGACTTATGTACATTTCTAGCACTGACCTGGGATAATCCACGTCCATCTTTATCATCTTTTCTTTCGTCTCCCCATCAATCAACTCACAGAACTTTTCTTTTCTCACCCGTATGAGCTCTGTTCCCATGCTCAAAAGGATGAGAGGTCGGAGGTCACGCATACTTTCTGGAAGAAAGGCCTGGTGAGTGCCCTAGGGAGAAGTGACAGAAAGTTAAACCTCACAGTAGCCAGATCTGCCTGCAGATTCTGGATGGGAAACATGAGGCCTGAGGAGGAGGGGTCTTTCTGGGGCTTTGTGTGCTGACAAGGAGGCCAGTCCAGGACTCTATTTGTTACCCACTGGTAGGTATATCCAAGTTAGACAAACGATGCTTGGGCTTAAATTTGAGAGCATGTAAGTTAGATCTGGATGTCTGAGGTCTCCAGGATGGCAGCTAACTGAATGCTTCCTCCCCCATACCTCCAACTCTGCATGAGCCCACAGACTCCCAGCTCCTCTCCTCCCCCACATCACCCCATGCCTGCAGGAAGCAGCCAGACATAAACTGGCATCCATTTATCTAAAGAGTCTGGAATGTTGTGATGGAAGCTCCACCCCTCCATCTCTCTCTCCCCAAACCCTACCTCATCTCAGAAAGTCCTACAAACATGGTTCCTCCCACAGAGATGCTCAAGACCATTCCCACAGGATATTTAAACTGCCCCCACAGAAAACAGACACGTGGTTTTTCAGTCTCTTTTCCCCTCTCCTCTCTGGGATGCCAGAAGATCATCCAGGAGCATTTTACCCATTAAACCTGGGTTTTAAGTTTTTTCCTTTTTTTTTTTTTTTTTTTTTTTGGTTTTTCGAGACAGGGTTTCTCTGTAATTTTGAAGCCTTTCCTGGAACTCACTCACAGAGATCCGCCTGCCTCTCTGCCTCCGGAGTGTCAGGATTAAAGATGTGTACTACCACCTGGGCTTTTTCTAATTCGGTTTGATCTGGTCTGATTTGGCTTGCTGCAGCTGTGGAGAGGCTTATTGGGGTGTAGACACACCAACATAGTACCCGGTACTTCTGCCTGACAACGATCTACGTGTCGCTAGCTCACCCCGTGCCCTGAACGCTAAGTCTCCAGTGACCACTAACATTTTACTAAAGCTTTACCTTTTCCCTGTCACAGGTTTGAAATCATATAATTAAAGACAGTCCTGTATAGCTCAGGTTGACATTGAACTCACAATTCTCCCATTTTAGCCCCCTGCATTCTGGATTATAGGCGTGTGGCCTGCACCTGGCTAAATTCTTACATCTTCATACTGAGACCTTCTTGTTAGTTAGTTAGTTTGCTTTTATTTTTTGAGACAGGGTTTCTGTGTAGCCCTGGCTGCCCTGGAACTAGCTCTGTAGAACAGCCTGTCCTCGAACTCACAGAGATCCACCTGCCTTTGCCTCCTGAGTGCTGAGATTAAAGGGGTGTATCACCACTGCCCAACTGAGTCCTTCATTTTAAGATTTTGTTTTAGGGGCTGGAGAAACAGCTCAGTGGTTAAGAGTACTTGCTGCTCTTCCAGAGGACCTGGGTATGCGGTTTTAAACCATCTGTACCTCCCAGTACCCAGGACCCAGTACCCTCCCCAGCAGACACTGCACACATGATATACACACAGATATTTGGGCAAAAAAAAATACAAATAAAATAAAAATAAGTGGGGCTGGAGAGATGGCTCAGAGGTTAAGAGCACTGCCTGCTCTTCCAAAGGTCCTGAGTTCAATTCCCAGCAACCACATGATGGCTCACAACCATCTGTAATGGGGTCTGGTGCCCTCTTCTGGCCTGCAGGCATAGACACAGACAGAATTTGTATACATAATAAATAAATAAATATTAAAAAAATAAAAATAAAAAAATAAGTATTTTTCAGGCAGTGGTGACACATGCCTTTAATCCCAGTACTGAGGACACAAAGGCAACCTGATCTCCAAGTTCAAGGCCAGTTTGGTCTACATTGTGAGGCCCAGGACAGTCAGGGCTACACAGAGAAAAACATATATATCAAATTATATATATGGCTTATATATACTTTATTTTTAGCCAGACATAGTCAATCAACCCCAGCACTTAGAGTGCAGGGGTAGATGGGTCTAGTTTGAGTTCCAGACCAGGCCAGTTAGAGCTATATAATAAAATAGCAAGAGCCTCTCTCCTCTCTTTCTCTCTCTCTCAAGCTGATCTTGAACTTGCAATTCTGCTGCAGCCTCTCAAGTACCTGGGACTGCAGGTCTGTAACACAAGGCCCAGCTTTCGATCTTTATACGTTTTTATTCCCTCTCTCCTCTTACTGTACTGCACACTAGGACTTTCGAGCAGAGAGCTGAAAAAGCTTACTAAGAGGCGGTGTCCTTGACTCGCTCTCTCTGCTGTTTTAAAGGAAGGCCAGCACTTTCACCTAGACATTTCTCCTTTCTTTGCTTTTTAAAACAGATTTGTTTATTTATTGTATACACGTGTGCACCTGAGTGCATGCAGCTGCCCAGAGATCAGAAGAGGATGTTGGGTCTCCGGGAACTGGAATTACCGGTGGCTGTGAGCTGCCACGTTAGTGCTGGAAGTGAACCCAGGTCCTCTGAAAGAACAGCAAGAGCTCTAAAGGAACTAGCCATCTCCCAGCACCCCCCTTCTCTCTCCCACTTGTCTCTCTCTCCAGTCCCTCATGACGGTGCTGGGGATTGAACCCAGGTACCCAAACAAGTGTGCATCTGCAGCCTCATTTACAACTTTGTTTGTTTGTTTCTAAGGCAGGGCGTCCCCGTGCAGCCCAGGATTGCCTCAAATCCACAGTCCTCTTGTTTCGGCACCATAGATATGTTCCACCTCACCAGACTCTTTTATAAATATTTTTATTGGTATCTCCCCAATAAGGACATTTTATGTTTTATATTTTTATTTGGAAAGGCTTTGGAAGTTATTTCATCATGGCATCTTTTCGTGTGTGCATGCACGTGGAAGACCGAGGCTAGTCTCAGGTGTCATCCTCGGGAGCCATCCACCTTGTATTCTGAGACAGGGGCTCTTTGGCCTGAAGATCATGACTTAGGGTTTTCCATTGCTGTGAAGAGACACCATGACCACAACTCTTTTTTTTATGCTTTTTTTTGAGACAGGGATTCTCTGTAGCTTTGGAGCCTGTCCTGGAACCAGCTCTTGTAGACCAGGCTGGCCTCGAACTCACAGAGATCTGCCTGCCTCTGCCTCCCGAGTGCTAGGATTAAAGGCATGCAAAACCACCACCTGGCTTGACCATGGTAACTCTTATGAAAGAAAACATTTAATTGTGCTGGTAGCTTACAGTTCAGAGTTTACTCCATTACTGTCACAGCGGGAAGCAAGGCAGCATGCAGGCGGACATGCTAGAGTAGCTGAGAGAGCTCTTACAGATTGTCTCACAGCAACAGGAAGTGGTCTATCTCACTGGACACGGGTTGCACATATATGAGACTTCAAAGACCACCTCCACAGTGACTCACATCTTCCAATGAGACCACACTTACTCCTAATAGTGCCACTCCCTTTGGGGACCATTTTCTTTCAAACCACACAGCTCACTAAGCAGGGGCTCGCCTGCCTCTGCCTCCTGAGAGACACCACACCCAGTTTTCTCCCATGGGCTCTGGCTCAAATTCGGTTATCCATGCTCGTACCTAGCGTCTTGCCAACTGGGCTTTTCCCAGCTCCCAGTCACACTGCACTGCCATAGCTACAAGTAGGGATTATTTTTAGTCGTTCCCTTCCCCCACCTGTCCCCCGGCCTCGTCATCTCCAGCTGGTTCCTTTTCTCTCCCCAGTTACCTACCCTCTGCTGCCTTGTCAGATAGTACTTTCCCACATTTTGTAACTTTATATTATTTTGTAACTCTCTTAAAGTCTCCCTCCCCTCTGCTTTCCTGAACCCCAATATATAGATTCCTAAAAGATCAACCACAATATCTTTATCATGTCTTTATTTTATTGTTTTACTTTTTTTGAGACAGGATCTTACTGTGTAATCCTGGTTGACCCAGAACTCACTATCTAGATCAGGGTAGCCTCAAACTCAGAAAGACCTGCCTGCCTCACCTCCCAAGGCATGCGCCATCACGAATTAAAGTCTTTTATTTCTTTATTTTCTTAAAAATTTTAATTTACTCTAATTTGAATTCAATTTAATTTTCATTTAAGCCGGGCAGTGGTAGTACCTGCTTTTAATCCTGGCAGTTGGGAGGCAGAGGCAGGCAAAGCTCTATGAGTTCAAGGCCAGCCTGGGCTACAAAGCAAGTTCAGGACAGCCAGAGCTGTTACATAGAGAGACCTTCTCTTAAAAAAACAAAAATTAAAAAAATTATTTTATTTTATCATATGTGCATGTGTGTATGCATGTGTGTTGTGTATGTGTGTGCATGTGTATATGCATGTGCTTGTGTGCATGTGTGTGCATGTGTGTATGTGTGCGTGTGTGTTAAAAGGACAACTTTCAGGAGTCAGTTCTCTCCTTTCACTGTGTTTCCCGGGGACCTACGTCAGGTTGACAGGCTTCAGCTAGAAGCGCTTTCGCCCCCTGAGCCACCTACCAGCCCAGCACGATTTCTTATATCATCAAATATGGAAAGATGTGTTTCTAAGCCTTTCTGCTCGTTACCCAGTATCCGCAGCCCATCTGTGCTGTGCACTAGCCTGGGAACGAAGCTCCTCGTACACTTACCACAATGTCGCCTTCCTTCAGAGTGTGCACCTTCATGTAGACCCCCACTATGGCATCCCTGGGGAGTTCACCGAACTTGGTGTTGGCCATGGGACATTTGACCGGATGACCAAACCTAGATCTGCAATGGAACAGCTTGTTAGAACTGATGCATAAAACAGCCAGCTAATTAGGTCCCAAGAAGTCAGCCCTCGCGGTACTGCCCTAGAAGTCAGCCCCCCCTAGAAGCCCCCCTAGAAGCCCCCCCTAGAAGGTCCCAAGAAGTCAGCCCCCCCTAGAGAATCTGCACCTCTGAAGAAAGCGAAAAAAACCTCAAAACCAAACCCTGAGTGAGTCTGACTACTGCTAGCTGGGGTCATAGAAACGTCAGAGAGCCTGGACTTGGGAGGGAAAGGAACTAGGGACCTTTTAGCCACCAGAAGGCTGCTTCCGGAAGAGCAGACAATCTCATGCAGCTGCGGCAGCCTGGTGGACAAAAAGTACAAGCACAGAGTTCAGGCTCCCCAGTAAAGGAAAAGAATTCCCACCAGTCAGAGATGCTCACAAACAGAATGACTGTTCAAAGGCGAGGCTCTAGGCACCTAGGGGCACAGCAGAGGCTTGCCTCTCTGTTTAAGACCAGTTCCCCTGCTCGGCCTGCAGCCCCTAGACTCTATTCAAATTGAGCTTAGGGGCTGGAGAGCCGGCTCAGAGGTTAAGAGCACTGGCTTCTCTTCCAGAGGTCCTGAGTTCAACTCCCAGCAACCACATGGTGGCTCACAACCATCTATAATGAGATCTGGTGCCCTCTTCTGGCCTGCAGGCATACATGGAGGCAGAACACTGTATACATAATAAATAAATCTTAAAAAAAAAAGACTGTAAGGAAATCAAATTGAGCTTAATTTTACAAAGGCAGCCCTGCTGTACTGTCCTTGGTTTCTGTCCGTGGCAGCAGGAGAGAGGCAAGGAAGGTGATTAGAAATAGAGAAAAGATTATGAGCTATGGATAGATGGGGCTCTCTCAGCTCATGCAAAGATAGGCTGGCTTCATCCCTGCCCCTCCAAGAAAAGCATGAGACAGGTGCGTAACCAGCGCGCCCTGTAACTTTTACTTCTGGCCCTCTTTGTTCCTTCTCCCTTACTGGCTCACAACAGACACACTGGGTCTGTTTTTTCTCTACCTATGGGGAAGCTGGAAGTGGGAATATTCCATCAGAAGAAAAACAAGTAGCCAGGCAGTGATGGCACATGCCTTTAATCCCAGCACTCGGGAGGCAGAGGCAGAAAGATCTCTGTGAGTTGAGGCTAGCCTGGTCTACAGAACGAGTTCCAGGACAGGCTCCAAAATTACAGATAAATACTGTTTCAAAAAAAGGGGGGGGGGACAACCTGGAAGTCATGGGTTGCTTCTTATGGAAGCCAGCAGACCGAAAGCGTTAATGGATAAATGAAGAGGCCATTGAAAAACAGGACAGCGAAACTAATCCTATTATTGATATCTTTTTTTGTTTTTGTTTGTTTTTGTTTTTTGTTTTTTAAAGGACATAGCTCTGGCTGTCCTGCTGAATTCAAACTCACAGAGATCTATCCTCCTCTACCTCCCTAGTGCTGGGATTAAAGGAGTGTGCTACCGCTGCCTGGCTTAGACAACTCATGATACTTGAGTTTCAAATGGGAGGGGGAGTGAGCTGTGCTCCTGACTCAGTCTTTTCCTGTTCCTCGGGTCGAGTTAAGGCAAGAGCACAGGTCTCAATGTGCCTCCATGGTAGACAGGACAGATGTTTGAGCAGACGCTCAGGCTTGAATCCTGGTTCTACCGCTTTCTACAATGTGTGACCTTGAACAAGCAACTTCACCCTTAGTTTTATCGCCTGGAAACTGAGTGATGACCGGAGCACCTTTAGGGACGTTGTGGAGATTAATTAGATAACTTTAATGCCAGATGCTAGGCATCCTGTCAGCATTAAGTATGATTTATCAATAGTTCATATAACCACTGGCTTACAACGACCTTGAAACTCAGAAACCCACAAAGCAGAAGGCTCAGAGAAGTCAGATCCCTTGGCCAGGGACACAGCCAAAGCAAGTGACCAAGCCAGGATTTGAACCTGGGTTGGACTGACTGCAAGCCAGGCTCGTACCCGCCCGCCATGCTAGAGCTCCCCTAGGTGGACAATCTTCTGAAGACACTGAGTCAAAAAAGGACCCAGCAACAGAGACACAGAAAGCCAGAAGATCCTTTCTCCCTTTTAAAAAACAGCACTGTGGCCCTGACCTGCCTGAGGAAATGAATGGTGGTTGTTCTTAAGTAGCCAAGTGAGCCGGAGACAATGAATGCCAGTCCTGGAGGACAAACCCAGCCAGCCACACCCATCCACCTAGGATGACCTGCCTGCCACCTCTGCCCCTCACCAGCATCTCCGAAATCTTTAACACCCACACCCAGACCACTCTATCAGCTAAGAGCTCAGCTTACCTGACCTTCGGGCCCAGCAACTTTGGGAGACTATTTTCTGTTGAGTTGATCTTCCCGTGGAAGGTTTTTCCCTTTTGCCCTCTGACTTCCTGGAGACGCCGAAGTTTCAAATAGCTGAAGTCTTGTAGCGGATATGATTTGATCTGGAATTCCTTAAATCTCTCCCTAGGAGAGATTACTATTAAGAGAAAGCACAGAAAAACACAGCAATGGGCCTTGGGCAGTACAAGGATGGTGAAAGGACCCCATCGGAACCTGCCCAAGTCGTCTGATACGCTGGGGGAAAGAAAGCAGGAGGCGTGGTGGCAGGAGGCAGAGACGGTAGATCTCTATGAGTTTGAGGCCAGCCTGGCCTACATAGCAACTTGTACGTCTGCCAAGGCTTCCGAGCCAATGAAGAGGAGGAGGAGGAGGGAGAAGGAGGCAGATTCCATAGACTGCCCTCGGGGCAGCCCTGCATTAGCTCCTTCCATAATTGCATCTACATGAGCAGTTAGCCTAGGGTAGAGGAGGTCAACAGCAGAGAATCCAAGCTGTCTGCTAAAAGACTGATGCTTAATTTGAACTCAGTTCTAGTCGATTCAGAGTCCATCTCTTCCTACTGCCAGATCGTAATGGGGGCTGGAGATGCAGGTCAGTTGGTAGAGGGCTTGCCTAGCACCCACAAAGCTCTGAGATTGATCCGCAGCACCCATGCAAATAGTTGGGCATGGTAGCTTGTACTTACCCCGGCACTGGGGAGGGAGAGACAGCCCAGCCTACATGGCAAACCCTATGACCAGTGAGAGACTGCCTCAGGAAACAAGGCGGGCCAGGCATCATGGCTCACACCTTGACTTTTTCTATATTTGGGAGGTACAGCCAGGGAGATTTCGATTTCAAGGAATGAAAGACAGTAACTGCCAACTTACATTACTATAGCCAGCAAAACGGTCATAATTAAGGAGAAAGAAACACTTTCCACGATGAACACAAACTAAAAGAATTCATGAGCACTAACCCATTCTTGATAGACTCCTTTGGCCAGAAGAGAAAGGTAAACACGGGGCTGAAGAGGTGGCTCAGCAGTTAAGAGCAGGTGTTGCTCTTGCAGAGGACTGGATTAGACTCCCAGCACCCGCATGGTGGCTCACAACTGTCTGCAACCCTGGTTCTAGGGGATCCCACAGGCACACACACAGAACACATACATACATGTAAAGTAATAAAAAAATTTTTTTCAAGATAAGTTTTTTCTGTTTAACAGCCTTGGCTGTCCTGGAACTCGCTCTGTAGACCAGGCTGGCCTCGAACTCACAGAGATCCACCTGCCTCTGCTTTTCAAGTGCTAGGATTAAAATTGTATGCCACCACCGCCCAGCAAATAAATCTTAAAAAAAAAAAAAGTAAACACATCCAGGGGCCACAGGAAAGAATAAACCAGGCTAGAACAGTAAGCACAAGACGAATAGGAAAACACCAAACACTACAAAATCAACACAAACACAGGGGTTAATACACAACTTTCAATAATAACTCTGAAGCTTAATGATATCAATTCTTCCATCAAAAGACACAGAGCAGTAGATTGGCTTAAAAAAATAAACTGCATTGCCTGATGGTGGTGGCTCACACATTTAATCCTGGCTAGCACCTGGGAAGCAGATGCAGGCAGATCTCTGTGAGTTCAAGGCTAGCCAGGTCTACAGAGTGAGTTCCAGGACAAACAGTTCTACATAGAGAAACCCTATCATGAAAAACAGATAGACGGACAGACAGATAGATAAATGGCATTCAACAAATGCACCTCACCATCAAGGATAGAGGCCACCATAGCATGAAAGGATGGAAAAAGCATATTCCAAACAAATGGAACTAGAAACCAATCAGGGGACAGCTAGTCTGGCAAACAAGAGACCCTCATCAAACAAGGAGGAAGGCAAGAGCCAACATCTGCAGTTGACCTCTGAGTTCCACATGTGCACCATGGCATGTGTACACGCTCACTCACAGACACAAACATGCACACGTACATGTGATAGCATGTCTATAATCTTAGCATTAGAGGTGTAGAAACGGGAGGCCCCCTGGGGTCTGGTAGCCAGTTAGTCTAATCCAAGTACGCACCCTTCTAACCTAAAATAAATAAATAAAAATGTTTAAAACTTTCTAAATAAACTCATTTTTGTGAGCGTGGCTATAGATGAATGGTATAGTGTTTCCCTGGCATGCATAAGACCCTAGGTTTGATACCCAGTGCCACAAAAACAGAAAAAGCCATTTTAAATAAAAAATACAAAAAACAAAAAACAAACACAAAATGATAGGAAGAGAAATATCAAACTAAGAGCAATCAAAGGAAGCTAAATTAAATCAAAAGGAGTGGCTAAAATAGCATCAGAAAAAAGTAGATTTTATAGTAAAGAATGCTCCCAGAGACAAAGAAGTTCATCTTAGGTCAAGAAGGTAGCTTGTGCTAGAGCGCCCGGCCTTACAGTCTGGGGCTCAATCTCAACACCTCAAAGTCAAGCTTTCTTGTCTTGAAGAATTCAGCCCTGTGGTTCTATGGGTCAAAGTCAGCCTCAGATACTGGGGGGGGGGGTGACGACGGGGGGGGGAAGAGGACAAAGTAGGGGGAGAGAGAAAACAGTAGGTGGAGATTTTCTCAGCTCTGTACTAACAGCTGATAGAGCAGATGAGGAAAATGAGGAAGGACACGGACCCCTCCTCCCCATCACCAGCCCAGCTGACTTACATTCCCAGCACGTGGCTGCCGATGCCAGCATATTCTTTTCAAATGCAAATGGAGCATTTACCAAGATAGATTGCTTTCTGAGCCATAAAACAACGTTCAACACATTCAAGAGGATCCAAACTGTCCCGAATGTTTTATCATAGAAATAATAAAGAGAAAGATAGCTGGATGGTCCCCAAATCTTGGAAACCAAATAACACCCTGATTAATATTCAGTGGGTCAAAGAAAAAAATCAAAAGAGAAACTGAAAAATATTTTGAACTGGTCCACGACAGAAACATAGCATATCCAAACTTGTGCAGTACAACCTTATACCTAGGGGACTGGTGTTGGGGGTGGCTGATGAGAACTGACATCCCTTTCAGCCTGCAGTCGTCTTGCAGTAATGGTGACAAGTGTCTACCAGAAATTCATGCACCCAGGGGGTGGTTTATGAGCTTTGTATGTTCATTTGTTTAACATCCAAATGAGTCTATGATATAGGGAACATAATTTACATTTTACAGGACCCGAGGACACTGATGTACAAAGTCATTTGTCCAGTGTCACACAGGACCCTGTGGTCTAAGCCTAGGCTCTTTTTTTTTTACAAGGCAGGGTTTCTCTATGTAGTCCTGGCTTTCCTGGAACTCATTCTTTAGACCAAGCTGACCTCAAATTCAGAGATTCACCTGCCTCTACCTCCCGAGGGCTGGAATTAAAGATGTGCACCGTCACCACCTTGCATGAGCCTAGACTCTTAACTGATGTGGGATTCCCCTCTGTATGCTGTGACTATGTTTTATTACCATTGGTTCATAAAGAAGCTGCTTCTGCCTATAGCAGAGCAGAATATAGTCAGGCTAGAAGAGAGATATATATAGAGAGAGCATAGGCAGAGTCAGAGGGATGCCATGTAACTGGCACACCGGAATCTTACTGTAGGTAGGCCACAGCCTCATGGCTATATACAGATTAATAGAAGTGGGTTAATTTAAGATGTAAGAGTTAGTTAAGAAGCTAATAGGCCAAGCAGTGTAGGAATTAATATAGTTTCTGTGTGATTATTTGGGTCTGGGAATGAACACGCAGCCTCTGACTACATTTAACAGTGATACTGTCTAGAAAAGTGATGGAGAAGCCAGATCAAACGATTTAAGTATTAACCAACGCCACCTACTGTGGGGGGTAAACATGGCTCTGTCAAGCTCCAAAGTTATCTTTGTCACATCGCCACGCCACCCCACACACACACACACCTTTTCCTCTGCCCAGCCACCAATGTTGGTTTCAGTTCTAATATCAGAACAACTGGCCACATCCACAAAGTGATCTTGGAGAGGTTGGATTATAATCTCAAAGGATTGTTGGGAGGAAGCCAGTGCTGGTACTTAATAAACATGTAACCCCTGGGCCCTCATGGCTGTCTGTGAAGGGCTGGGTCTCTTTACCCAAATGTATAAATTTAGAAAGGTACCCAAGAATACACAGGTACAGTCACAACTCAGGATATACTCAAAACCATCCACAGTAGCTAAAATATGAGTGTTGACCCTGTGAGTCGCTCTGAATACACATAAGATGCCTGGGATGGCCATGGGCCCTGGGATCCTAGAGTTTAAATTCTAGGGAGGCAGCCATTTAATAACCATTTCAGATTCAGTGATTGCAGTGGAACAGACACGACACGAGAGAAATACTGCAGATGCAAATGGGATGTAATGAGGGCTGAGGTGGAAGATGCTGCTTCAGCACGAGAAGTCTAGGAGAATTCTCCGAATAAGGATGCGTCATCTAAGATATGAGAAGCAGAAGAGAACTGGGGAAAGGCGGGGAGGGGGGGGGCGTGAGGCATAAGTACTGCTTACATGGAAGAATCCAGAGAGGGAGGGAGGAGCCGGCAGGCAGGGCCAACGATCAGGCACTTAGAGCTGGTAGAAGAGGGTCAAAGCAGATCTCCTATTCACCCTCTTGAGCTCAGATACCCATGAGTCTATGGACTGGGGACTGGAACCAGGACAGGGCCCAGGGGACACACCTCTCCCCTGCCAGCTATGCCATCAACAGATGTGGCTTACCCTCGCGGTGAACTCCCAGAGGTTTGTAGTCCAACAGATCCAGCTGCTGCCAGACCCACTTATAATAGGTACTGGAGGCTCCCAGGTCTATCATCCGCAGGATCTCACAGCTGCCCTGGACACATCAAGAGATATAAGCCAAGGGTTAAACCTGGATGCTCCAGGCAGTCCAGACTTTGAAAGGAAGCTTTATATCCACCTGACCTAACCCCATTTTGTTTTATTTGCTCAATGTATATCGTTCCATGTGTTTTCCTTAATAAAAATGTTGTTGTCTCGTAGCAAATTCAAGCACCTAAAGAAGCACAGAAAGTACACACAGTATTGACAGTGACAAAGTCATCGCTGAGGATGTAACGACACAGCCAGTGGTACTGGTCACTGCCGGCTACACATCCTGCTGATACCGACAGTCACACACACACACACACATCCTGCTGATACTGACAGTCACACACACACACACACACACACACACACACCCTGCTGATACCGACAGTCACACACACACACACACACACACACACACACACACACACACACACTTTAGCTTTTTAAGACAGGGTTTCTCTGTGTAGCCCTGACCATCCTGGAACTCACTCTGTAGACCAGGCTGGCCTCAAATTCAGAGATCTTCCTGCCTCTGCCTCCAGAGTGCAGGGGTTAAAGGTGTGCGCCACCATTGCCCAGTGACTTTATAATTCTTCTGCAGCTAATTTCTGGCCTTCGAAACGATCACCTGTGAAGCTGGAGAGAAGGCTCAGTGGTTAAGAACACTGGCTGCTCTTCCGGACTAGCCAGGCTCAGTCTCCAGCACAAACAGCAGTTCACAACCAGCCATAACTCCAGTCCCCAGGGATCTAATGCCCTCTTCTGGCCTCTGCAGACACCAGGCACACACATGGTGAACTTATATACATGCAGGCAAGACACCCATACACATTAAAACAAAACAAAACAAAACAAAACAAAAAACTCCTTTCTTAAAAAAAAGCAAAAAAGGCCAGGTGGTGGTATATGCCTTTAATTCTAGGACTTGGGAGGCAGAGGCAGACAGATCTCTGTGAGTTCAAGGCCAGCCTGGTCAACTGAGTGAGTTCCAGGACTGCCAAAAGCTACACAAAGAAACCCTGTCTTGAAAAAACTAAACAAACAAACAAAAACAAATCACCTAGGTTCCCAAGGATGATGTTCACCTCTCAGGTAATTCTAGAAAAGACCAAAGAAGAAGAGAATAAGGGGTGGTGGTACACCCTTAATCCAGGCATTTAGGAGGCAGAGGCAGTCAGATCTCTGAGTTCAAGGCCAGCCTCATCTATATTGCAAATTCCAGGCCATCCAGGGCTACAGAGTGAGAGTTTGTCTCAAAAGACCAACCAACAAAAAGAAACCCCAGTTAGACATTAGCCCAAAAACATAATCCTATGTTCTTGCTTAGAATATTATTCCATGCTAATTCTTTATTTGCATGTGTGTACATGTTTGTGTGTGCACACACATGCTCAAGCATGTGGACACCAGACAATATCAGGTGTCTTCCTAAGTCATTCTCTATCTTATTTTTACAAGATGGGCCCCTCAGTTGGCTTAGAGCTGATTCATTAGACTCCCTATAAACGGAGACTATGCTTGTGTTTCCCAGCCAGACAGACCCAAATAATCACACAAACACTATATTAATTACAATACTATTTGGCCGATGGCTCAGGTATATTTCTAACTAGCTCTTACATCTTAAATTAACCTATTTCTATTAATCTGTGTAGCACCACAAGGCTGTGACCTACCGGTCAGGTTCTATAGCCACATGGCATCTCTCTGACTCTGCCTACTCTCTATATCTCTGTTCAAATTCCCCACCTGGCTTTATTCTGCCCTGCCATAGGCCAAAGCAGTTTCTTTATTAACCAATGATAATAAAACATATTAATAGCATACAGGGGAATCCCACATCATCTCCCTTTTTCTGTCTAAATAAAAAGGAAGGTTTCAACTTTAACATAGTAAAATTACATATAACAAAACAGATATCAAGCAAGAATTAGTTACAATATTTGTAAGTCTAAAGTTTCATATCTAATTTATCTTTTATCATACCTAAGGAAAAATATAACTATCTGTCTTCAACTCCATCAAAAAACCCCAGAAGGATACAATATTATCCAAGTAAACAGGAAATGCATTGTAAGCAACTTCCAAAACTTTAGAATTGACAGCGTTTGGGTGCCTGGGACAGACACCCAAAGTTCTTCTGTAATGTTGGAGCACCCATCTTCAGCCTACAAGCCCATAGTTTCCAGCAGACTTTTCCATGAAGCAGGAAATTTGAAAGGTTGTTTTGCCTATATTGGCAGTTTGTCAGTCACTTTCTTCTGTGTCCTGCAGAATGTCTAACAGACTCTTTCATGAAGCAGAACCCAAAAGGACTGTCTCGCCTTCTTTAGGCAAGTACAGCAGTCACTTTTCTATGGCTCCTGCATGTCCAATTTATATAACACACCATCAAGCAGTCCAGTCAAGAGCAATTTCTTGCCCAATGGCTAGCCTTGTCACCTTGAAGACAAATTCCATAACGAGTTTCCTCAGTGTCCATCAGCCTCTTGAAGCAGATCACCGGGTGCTACCCAAAGCTGACTTGCCTCACTGTCGACAAATTGTCTAAGTTCTTAAAACCTTTTAAATGCCATATTCTGTAGGTCTTTGAAGTGTTGAAGATTATCTAAACTGAAATAAATCTCTGTATATCTAGGAAATCTAACATGACTACAACTTTGACGATTATAAATGACTATCAAGCTGTAATCCTTAATTGTACATTTTTTAATGAGCTGCACAAACATGATACCTTAAACAAGAGCAGAAATACATAAACACAGTATAACAAAACTGACCTTAAATTTGTATCAATAGACCAAGATCCATACCAATGCAAAGTGTTTATTTCTGTATCAACTTCCTGACCAGGGAGCCCAACATATGTCTTTCCTCAACATATGCTGAGTTACAAAGAATCAGATGTATGTACCAGTGTTATCCCATTTCTAGGAGGTTCAGAAACTGTTTATAAAAAAGTACTCTATGGTTGGGTTAGAGAGGCAGCTTGGAGCTAGAGAGGGAGATCAGAGGTTAAGAACCCTGCTTTTCCAGAGGACCTGGGGCAATTCCCAGAACCTACATGGTAGCTAACAACTATCTATCTATAAAACTCTATCTAGTTCCAGGGATCCAACACCCTCTTCTGACTCCATAGGCACGGTACACAGGTGGTACACAGACATACATGCAGGCAAAACACCCATACACACCAAATAAATCTCAAAAGCAAGCTGTGATGATATTGTAATAGGAGTGTCTTTGGGGGAATTTTGTCTGAGAAAGGGCACAAGGGCATCTTCTGGAGGTTGGAAATTCTGGAGGTTCAATACATCAATTTGGTTGATTATTGTCAGGTTTTGAACTCATCAAGAGAAAAATAGTTCAGATTGGAAAGTTCTAACTCAAGAAGACATTTTAATGTTTATTTAGTTTTATGTGTGTGCTTGCTTGTCTGTATTTGCACATGTGGGTGCCCTAGGAGACCAGGTGATGTCATCTGATCCTGTGGAACTGGAGTTGTAGGCAGGTGTGAGCTGTCTGATATGGGTGCTGGGAACTTGAACTCGGGTTCTCTGCAAGAGCAGTCAGTGCTCTGAACCACAGAGCCATCTCTCCAGGCCCCCAGAAAACATTTTCTAAAAGATTCAGATTTGGCTGTTTCTAATTTGTCAGCATTATCTGTAAGTTTTATTTTGTTCAGCATAGCAAAGCCCCAATTTAAATTAACCCCAAAGTCTTCACCTTTCCCAAGTCCTCTGTTCTGGGAGTGGGGATGACTCAGATCCAGGTAACTAACAGTCAGCAGAAAATGCTGGCTAGAACTAGGGGAGCTACTGACCTTCCTCCTCTGTTCTCAGCCTACAGACTCTCCTGGAGGACCGAGAGAAAGGGACAATGTAAGCCGTTTGTTGATTGATGATGCCCTGCACAGCAAGCAACTAAATACATCGTCAGTTCTCTTTGTTTTTGTTTTTTTGAGAAAGGGTTTCTCTGGGTAGTCCTGGCTATCCCAGAACTTGCTCTGTAGAGCAGGCTGACCTCAAACTTATGGAGATCCATCTGCCCATGTCTTCCTAGTGCTGGGATTAAATGTGTGTATTACCACCACCTGACGCATCTTCTAATTCTTTTTTGATGTTTGTGTATTTATTTATTTATTTATTTATTTATTTATTTATTTATTTATTTATTATGTATACAGTATTCTTTCTGAGTGTATGCCTGAAGGCCAGAAGAGGGCACCAGACCTCTTTACAGATGGTTGTGAGCCACCATGTGGTTGCTGGGAATTGAACTCAGGACCTTTGGAAGAGCAGGCAATGCTCTTAACCACTGAGCCATCTCTCCAGCCCCCGCATCTTCTAATTCTTACAGAGGTCACTGAAGCAGCTCCCTGGGCAGGCAGAGGGATGGGACTTCCTCAGTTTTGGATTGGAAACAACCTCCTGATTTGCTTGGATCAGTTTCCTAGAAAGGGGGCTGGTAATGGTCAGAGTGAGAACTTTAGAAGTCAGTCTTTAATTCCCAGCATCTCCTTCTCCTGCCTTGCTGCTCTGAGCGTTTAGTTTAAGATATGGGTCTCCAGGCTAAGAATGGTGGCACAGGCTGTAGTCTCAGCACAAAAAGGCTGAGGCAGGAGGATTTCAAGTTTGAGGTCAGCATGGGATACACAGAGACCCCTTGCCTCAAGAAGAAACAAGAACAAAGCAATCCTAACATATGTGGGGTCCCAGGCTTGAATCCCAGCATCAGAAAAAAACATGTTCTTTTTATTTCCTATCTTATAGAAATCTTCTGCCTCTTAATAGGAAGTCTAAGAGATACAGCAGGGGTGAACTTAAAGACAGGCTGCTAGTGGTAAGGGGACAGACATGTAGTAATCCTTGTGTGCCAGGCCCTGTCCAACATTTATTCACCATATACGTCTCACCCAAGAACCGCAGACGAGAGAGAAGCAGTGGTTCCTCTCGGAAGAGTCTCTCAGAAACCTTTATTGCCTCTGATACTTGCAGAGAGAGG